GCCATGTACAACGACATCCCCGTCTACGACAACTCGCGCGACAACGTAGTATGGCAGGGCCGCGAGGGCTCGGCCATGGGCGAAGGCGTGCGCCGTGACCGCACCGGCTCCATGGGCCAGGCACCCAATGACTACGAGTACAGAGACCGACCGCAGCACTCATCTACATGGGCGGACGACGTATACGACCGACAGCCGTCCTCGGCACCCGGCGGCCTCAACCGCTCCTTCTCCACACGTGCGAACCCCACCGAGACATTCGACCGCATGGACAACCGGAGCCGCTCTTCCACCTTCGGCGACGACTACTCGTACAGCGACCGCAAGCCTGGCCGACCGACGGCGCCGAAGCCAGTATTTGGACAAACCACGGGGCAGAAGAAGGCAGGACTGCAGTCCGACCAGGCAATTGCCAAGTTCACCTTTGACGCGGACCAGCCGGGCGATCTCGGCTTTAAGAAGGGCGAGATCATCACAATTCTGAAGAGAACGGATAACGAGACCGACTGGTGGACAGGCAGAGTCGGAAGCCGAGAGGGCATCTTCCCAAGGTAAGTCGCATAGGCCATGCCATCATGAACACTCCACTGACCGCCACAGCAACTACGTCGAGACCGTATAAAGTCGTTCCTGAGATACCACAACCCCGACCACGTAGACTGTCACACCTCGTTTCATTTCTAGTCTAGCGACATTCTTCAACTCCTTCTCGAGCGGTCGGCATTTAGCACCTTGCTTGCTTTCGCATGGCCTGGCGTTCTCCTTTGAGTTCGTTATCAGCTCTCCTTGTTGCCTTTATCCCAGATACCTACGTAGCGAAGAAAGTCGTTGAATCACGAGATACACCAAGATCCGTTGTCATGCGTGGAGTATGGACGAGAACTATTTGGAGTTACCCCGATTGCCGAGGTGGAGTTGGTCGGCTGAACATCGTATCTATGACCCAGCGATCGCTCCAACCCCCGCCTCAGGCTGCCCCTCATGTTCACCCTCTGCGGTATGCGCATCGGCAGGACATTACCCTGCATTGACCTACTGAGACATGCCATGAAATGTGAAGCTACGCTAATGTGGAAGGTGCTTAGAACAACTACCCGATAGCTACCCCACTTGGCCGTTGGGTAGCTTCGAAGCTATCAACGACCGTCGACCCTCAACGTCATTCCCGCGGCTGCATATCTTAACTCCGGAACCGCTCCCGTCCCCAACTTGCTGCGAGCCTCCCCTCAAACACCAAATACTTGCGAGAAACTGCCTTTGTCTCTTCTGCAATCAGCTCAACCGACATCATGACGACATCATCGTGGGAAGAGACCGCTGCTAAGAAGCGCGAAGCTATCTTGGCTGCCATACCCTCGGAATGGCGACTAGAGAAGTTGCCATCGGTAGAAGAACGTGTCGATGTCACAGACTATGTGAAGCAGTACTTCAGCAAGCAAGAGCTGGACATCACTGAAAGCAGCGCCGATGTGATCGCAAAGACCGTTGCTGAGGGGAAGTGGACCGCTGAAGAAGTCACGAGGGCATTCTGCCACCGAGCTGCAGTTGCGCATCAATTGGTACGTCGCACATCTGATACGTGCAGTGGATAATGCTAAATGAATAGCTATCATGTCTTCACGAGATCTTCTTCGATGCCGCCATCCGGGATGCAAAAGCGCTCGACGCGTACTACGCGAAACACAAAAAGACCATCGGTCCCCTCCATGGCGTACCCATCTCACTCAAAGACCAGTTTCACGTCAAGGATGTGGAGACCAGTATGGGCTACGTCGGCTGGATTGGCACCTTTGAAGGCAAGAAAGGTACCGGTAAAGAGAAGGTGTTTGAGAGTGAGATGGTGAAGATACTGCGTAAGGCGGGAGCTGTGTTGTACTGCAAGACCAGCGTGCCGCATACGCTTATGAGCGGGGAGACGATTAACAACATCATTGGGTTTACCCTGAACCCGAAGAATAGGAATCTTACGGCTGGTGGTAGCTCCGGTGGCGAGGGCGCGTTGATCGGTATGAGAGGATGTAAGTGGACCACCGTCTGAGATATGGCAATCGCTATGAGCATTCGCATTCAAGACGAAGAAACTGTGGATCACTGACATTGAACAGCGCCATTAGGATTCGGTACTGACATCGGCGGCTCCATCCGCATCCCCGCCGCCTTCAACGGCCTCTACGGCATCCGCCCCTCCACCGGCCGCCTCCCCTACGAAGGCATGGCAAACTCCATGGACGGCCAAAACACCGTCCTCTCCGTCGTCGGACCCCTCGCCACAAACGCAGCATCCCTACGCCTCGCCTGTCAAGCCCTGCTCGAACAAAACCCCTGGCTCCACGACCCGCTCGTCCACGAAATCCCGTGGCGCCCGGACCAAGAAGCTGAGATTACGTCCGCAAAGAAACTCTGCTTCGGTCTGTTAATGACGGATGGTGTTGTGAATCCCACGCCCCCCGTCCGCCGCGCTATTGAAACTGTTGTGGAAGCGCTGCGCGCCGCTGGTCATGAGGTGATAGACTGGCAGCCACCGTCTCATCGCACCATCAACGACGTCGGCTTCCGCCCCTGGATCTACGACGCGGGTAAAGACGTTAAATCCGCGTTTGCGCTCTCCGGCGAACCCATGGCGCCGCAAGTGACGTTTTACCAAGGTGTCGAGAAAGAGTTCAGCGCTACGGACATCGCGGCTACGAATGTGGAGTTGAGAAGCCTGAAGAAGGAGTACATGGAGTATTGGAATGGTACTGTGGATAAAACGAGTACGGGGAGGCCGGTTGATGCGGTGATTTGTCCGCTTGCGCCGTTCCCGGCAAGTAGGAGGGAGAGGTTCAGGTATTATGGGTATTCGACTTGGGTTAATGCGTTGGATTATACGAGTGTTGTTGTACCGGTTACGACTGTGGATAAGAAGGTCGATGTGAAGGAGGAGGGGTTTAAGGCGCTTGATGAGCAGGATAAGAGTATCCAGGATGATTGTAAGTGCACGCGAAGACTTTTGAGTACGTTGGGTTGTTGTTGCCTCGTGTGGAGCGCGGGGGGATATCGGATAGGGAAGAGATTGGAGTGCTAACAGGAGTGCAGATGACCCTGGGATCTATGACGGCGCGCATGTTAGTGTGCAGCTTGTTGGACGGAGGTTGCAAGAGGAGAAGATGATTGCGGTTGCGGAACTTGTAGGTAGTGTGATCGGGAAGTAGGGATCAAGGTACATGGTACGTTGCTTTGGCGCGCGTATCTGGTTCTTCTCGCGAGATGTCATATTGGAACCCTTCCCATCTGACCGGGTTTGGTCGCATAGACATGGTATGCATGCAGCACACAACGAGCAAGTTCAGTCTTCAGATCTTCCAGGATTACGCTTTCTATGAACACCGAAAGGCGCCGAAGACCAGCTTCGACTGATTCATCCAACCTATTTGTTACCTTGAGCTGCTCTCTATCAGCCTACTTCCGCAACAGACACAAGAATACGATGACTGAAACCGCCCGTTGAATAATGTAAAGGATGAGAAAGAGGTCTCCATCGGCTTGCACGGAAGCCGGGAGTTGTGGGCGGCTGGTTGACGACGAGTTGTCGCATTTCCTCATACTACCTGAGCAGAGGTTTTTGCTTTCGCAGAAAAGAGGAACGGACCGCAGGACTACCGAGAAGCACATCGAAAGGCGAGTTCTCCAAGATGTGAAGACGGCGCACGACACCCTTATCGCTACCTGACAGCGGAAAGGAAACATCCACGAATCCGCCGGTGGAAGTAAGACGTTCTTCATCCCATACAATCGAGCTTACATGCCCAGAGTCGAAGCGCGGTTCCAGACCTAGCCGGTCGACGATCTTGGGCGAGACGAAGTCATCTTGTACCCTCCGAGGATAGATCACGCAGACGGATGCTGCCTTCTCGGTCCTTTTGGACACGATCGATATGTACCGTTTCGCATTGAGAAACGATGCGATCTCTCCCTTGTTAACCTTGCGCATGGTCAGTGACAGCAAGCTTGACTTGGATCGGTTGGCTCACGATGTTGAAACGACCAGAATGTTGCGCCTGCGCTGGAAGGCGAGGCTGGCTTGACACTGGAGCGGGGAACGGCAAAGCCAATCCTTTGCCTGCCATGACTTTTGCGACGTCGCAACCGTGGCATCCGACAATGAAGTACTTACTGGTACTCAGTCAATACGTCGCTCGGCTCAAGGATGAGAAGCACTGACATGTTATAGCTACTGACCTTATCCGCGACGTGCCCATTGATTTGCAGCGTATTGTCGTAGGCCCTGTTCCCAATGGCGCCTGACTGCCGCGTCACTTGATTTGCCTCTGCAGGATGTCCAAACACAGATACACTTGATCTAGACGCATTTCTGGTGTCGTGAGCCGAATTGCTGGTATCGCTTCGATAAAAGCTACTCATGATTCGTGACGAGTGAATTCAGGAAGAGAAGGGCGGGTGAAGAAGGCATCTAGCCGGGGAGGGCGCTGTATGTGACTTCTGCGCGCGCACACTCGGCGCATGGCCGCATCGAACGCGGGATGTGTGAGTTCGAGTGTTCCTACAGGTTGCCCAACACGCATGCGCGTAATCGCGGGGATACGCTGTCACGTGTGGGTGGTCCCGCTCATCAGATGATTTGCCGCGTCGCCACCGGTGAATTGCGAGCGGTATAGCGTCTCACAAGGATGAGCGACGCCACGTTCGGTCGCGCTGTGCGCTGATGATGCAAACGCAAGCGCAGGTTGGAGATCTGCCCCACTTAATGTTCCTACCTCGAAGCAGGTCCCGCGCGATACTACGGCGCATAGCCCACCTCGCAGTTACACGGAAACGAACTCCCACAACACTACCAGCGTCGCTAGGTCTTTGCGCATCATGGCTTCCAAGTAGAGCGTCGCATTGGCCACGCGCCTACCCCAGCGCCCACTCCAGCGCCCATTTCAGCGTTATCAGGCGCATCTTGAAGCTGCGCGCACATCCAAGGCTAGGTGCTACAGGAACGCTTTACATCGCGCGCGATGGGGGATCGCCATACCTTAGCGCAGAAGCTCCTCAATGGATATCATTCCAAGGTAATGGAGCTTCTGATAGATTACCTCCAAGATGAGAAGATCTGCGAAAGGACCGAGCGGTACGTAGGACAACATAACCCATCTCCGGCAAGGCTCAACACGACCTTTGAAGAGCAGCCCGGAGCCTTACCAAAGCAATCACACCGTCATGGTTCTTCTTTGCCGCACGCCGCGCATCGCCAGGATAACCCAGATGCTGGACACGGCCTACCCACCCCTTCCAACAGCGCAGGTTCGGTAAAGTCCCAGGGCTCAAGTCTGACAGCTCCGGGCGTTGAGAAGATATGGTTGCTGTCATGCGACGACGATCAGAAAGAACACCTAGTCATATCCAAATGCACTCCTGGAAGACATAATCTCATCCGGGACAGAACCATGTACAATCGTGGCTTTGGTGGCAAACAGAAGCGCGTCAATGAGTCGGTAAACGTGCCTGGCTCACAGAGATCAGTCAACGTGAGCGCCGCAGTGGATCTGACATGGCGTCGACCCGGCGAGTTGACGACAGATGAGGCCAGATTCTACGTTGTGCCAAAAGCTCTGCTGGACAGCGATGTGGCTCTCGCGGCTGACGAGTCCATGGAGCACCAGTTTCCATCAGGTCAGTTTGCGACGCCCTATCGGATGTGCGCGCAGCCAGGCTGATCTTTCTGTCGCAACAAAAGACGTCCAAGAAGCAGCTTCACCGCAGGGCCGCTACCAACCAGGCTTCGTCACCGTCGACGAGTCCGACCCAGCGATTCCTCCGCGAGCGCCGACTGCGCCGATGTATTCGTACCAACCCTCGTTTATGCAACCACAACCTGAAGTTCAAAGGACATACGATCGCATGAGTGCCATGCAGGAAGCACAGCGCATACGAGGACACGAACCACCCGCTCACAGCGCACAAACAGCACCCGCCATTCTCGGTCGACCAAACCACGCAACGTTGCCCATTGCAAGTCAGGCGGCTACAAGCGGACAGCTCCAAGTGAGGGGCTTCTGGGGCACAACGCCAATCAGCATCTCGTTCAACCCCGAGGAATCGGGAGAGCAGTTCTTCCAAGCCTTCCTCCGGTGGGCCAAGCGGCGCGGCCGCGGTAGCGAGGTGGACCGAAGCAGAATGATGCTCTGGCTAAAGGCAAACAAGGATATGTCGGACGACGCAGCCCAAGATGTCAGCCTTGACCTCGACGAGTTGGAAAACCTTTGGGACACAACGGTCGCATGGATCCACGAGAACAAAAGTGCCAAAGCACCGCATCTCTATGCGACGGTACAAATGATCGAAATGGAAGACGGATGACAGGTACCCGGTGGCGAGGAACCTTCACAGACATTTCCCAACGTGCGACTGTCTGCGCGCAGAATTAGTTCGCTCACGCCTACGGCGTGTTGCTTCGGCAAGCAGCGGGATGCGCGTTCTGCAGGTTGCTTTCCACGCATGCGACCATTCGCGGGTACGGCGAGTTGGCTATCGCGAGCGCAGCAATCGACGTCGCGAACACGGTAGGCAGCGCGGATCTAAACGCGAAGCTATGCAGCCGTCCGCGACGCAAATCTCTTCTACGCCGCGAAGAAGAGTACAAGAGAAGAAACAGAAGCGCGCAAAGAAGAAAGAGTTGTAGATGTAGTAAGCACGCGGAAAGAAGAAGCTTGCGCAAAACAAAGCTAGGCAAGAAAGATAAGAACTTAAAGAGAAGATCTATATCTCTATTACTCTATCTATCTATAAAATTAAATATCGATCTACTAAGACTTATAAGTATTATAGTAAATAGATATAAATCTAGTTAAGATTAGATTATATTAGTAATAGCTATAACCTAATCTTAATTAAATCTAAGAAAATTATAGTATAGATAAGTATAGCTAAAGCTAACTTTATTAGAATAGATAATAATAGACTATAATTATATAAACTATAGTATAGACTTTAGAGTTAGGTTTTAGAAAAAATATAAACTTTTTTTACTTTTTTTTTAAGAATATTATAGAATAGTAGTATATATTATAGTATTTAATATATTAGCTTAAAAGATTAAGTACTTACTAAGATAAGTTAGAATAAAAAAAGTCTATATATATTTAGAAACCTTATTCTATAGTAGAATCTTATATAATCTATAAATATAACTATCTTATATACTATCTTATATACTATCTTATATATTATCTTATATATTATTTTATATACTATTTTATATACTATCTTATATACTATTTTATATATTATCTTATATACTATCTTATATAGTATTTTATATTCTACTAATAAAAAGATATTAAGTAATAAAAGTATTTTATATAATAGTTTATTTACTTTTTTAAATAATTATATTATAAAATATAATATATAGATAATACTTTCTTATTTACTATCTTATATTTTACTAATAAATAGATATTTACTAATTAGATTTTTCTATATTATATCTTTTATCTTACTACTAAAAGTATATCTAATAGTAAAGCTATCTTATATAGTATTTTACTTAGTATCTTAAATTATTTATAAATAATACTATTTAAAATAATATCTTATTTAGTATATTAAATAATTTACTAATATAAAAGAAAATATAAGTAATAGTATTTTATATATTATCTTATATATAATCTTATACTTTAGTAGTAAAAAGATATTTACTAATAACACTATTTTATATAATAGCTTTGTTATTATCTTAAATAATTTACTAATAGAAAATAATTTATAAATAATACTATTTTATATAGTATTTTATATACTATTTTATATTTTACTAATAAAGTTTATTTTAGTAATAATACTATTTTATATAGTATTTTCTTTACTATTTTAAATAATCTACTAATATAAAATAATTTATAAATAATACTATCTTATAAACTATTTTATATTTTACTAGTAAATTCTTTATTATTAATAATACTAACTCTATTAGATTTATAAGTTTTACTATAAAATTCTAGAAAATCTAGTCTATATACTACTAGATTCTAGTACTAGCTATATAGCTTAAGCTAACTCTAAATCTAAAAGCTTATTTAATACTATAAGCTAGCTCTAGAAGCGCGTTTTCTACTATAAGTATATCTAGAAAGTATACTCTATAGTATAAGCTAACTCTAAAAGTCTACTAGTAGTATAAGTTAGCTCTAAAAGCGCGCTTAATAGTATAAGCTAACTCTAGAAGTATACTTAATACTATAAGCTAACTCTAGAAGTATATTAATAGTATAAGCTAACTCTAGAAGTATACTTAATAATATAAGTATTATAACTTCTAGACTTATTTTCTACTATCTTATAAATAGAAACTTTACTACTAGATTATATCTATATTCTTAGAATAAAATTCTAATATCTTATATCTATAAATTTCTAGATATTACTAGATAAAGTTCTAATATTATATATATATAAACCTCTAGATATTACTAGATTTATCTAATCTTTTATATTTATAAAAGTCTATCTATTTATATATATAAATTAATAGAATTTTAATATTAAAGTATATCTAAAATTATCTATTCTCTTATATTAGTACTATTTATACTAGTAAATTAAGCTAACTTATATTATCTATTAGTATTAGATATATAAACTTTAAGTTAAAGTCTACTATAAGTAGTCTATACTACTCTAGTTTAGTAAGAGACTTAGAGAGTTAGGTTTACTATAAATAAAAAAAACTTTTCTAGTTACTCTTTTAAATAGATTTCTACTACTACTATAATTACTTACTTATATATCTAGTACTAAAAGAATTATAATTAAAATTATATTACTTCTACTTTTTTAGAATTTACTATCTATATACTATTACTTTATTATACGTAATATAGTAGTATAGCTACTATATATCTATACACTTTATATACACTAATTCTAAAGTAGATTATCTCTAATACTTTAATAAACTAAATATTTAGCTTATAGATAAAGCTACTATTATTATTATATAGTAAAGTGTATAGTACTAAAAGAATTATAATTAAAATTATATTACTTTTATATCTTTAGAAATTAGACTCTATATACTTTTATAGTATTATATATCTTATAGTAGTCTAGCTACTATATGCCTATATACTTTATATATACTAATCTTAAAGTAAGTTATATCTAATACTCTCTACTTATATACTTTATATCTTCTTCTACTTTATATACTTTTTATTTTATACACTTTTTTATCTTTTATACTCTTTTATCTTTTATACTTTTTTACTTTTTATACTTTTTTATCTTTTATACTCTTTTATCTTCTATACTCTTTTATCTTCTACTTTCTTTTATATACTTTCTTTTACTTTCTCTTTTACTTTATTTTATTTTATCTTACTTTTTAGATAATACTAGTATATTTTATAAGCTATTACTTATACCTTAGTATTTCTATCTTTTCTTTTTTTTTTTTTTTATCTTACTATTTATTAAGTATATAGTAAGTTAATTATAAAACTAAAAATTATCTTAAACTCTAATACTAATATATAGCTAAATTACTAGTAGTTAGAAGTTTAATAATATTAGACTTTACTATATTAAACTAACTATCTTCTACTAAAGTAGAAATAATAGTAGAAATATTATATCTACTAAATCTAAGTAATAAGCGTTTTTATATAAAGGTAATTACTATTACTAAGAATATAATCTATCTATATTATTCTAAGAAAGAATTTAATAATTTAAATAATCTACGCTATCTTATCTATTATATTTATAAACTTTCTCTAAAACTCTAGAATAGTATCTATAAGTTTTACTTTCTAACTAAACTAAATACTTAAGTAGTACTAGAGCTATTACTTTCTAATAATTACTTTTTTAGCTTAAAAATTATTAATAAAAAAATAGTTATATACTCTATATAGAAGTTAGATCTTATACTATATTATATATTACTATAGATCTACTTAGAATTTAAGTATATACTTAAGTAGTAACTTCTTAAATAGTATTTATTATCTATATAGATAGTACTAAGCTATAGAGATAAAGAATTAGAACCTACTTATCTATAAGACTATTTCTTCTATATTTTAGCTTCTTTATCTAATTATAGAAGTAGTAAATTTTTTTTAATTTTATAAGCTAGAACTATAACTAGTCTATATCTACTAGTAGCTATAAAAATATTACTACTTTAGAATAGTTACTATACTATAGACTTTACTTTTAATCTTAATAAAGTAACCTATTTAGCGTACTTAGTTTTCTTATCTTTAGTTCTAGAATAGATCTTACTAAAGAATAAGATTAAATATAACTTTTATAAACTAAAGCTTTTTATCTATTTTTTTTTTTATTATATAATAATATATCTTTTAGTTAATAGAATAGTTATAGTATATATAGTACTACTACTCTTAGATAATATAAATAGATATATAACTCTAAACTTTATATATAATATATACTATCTTACTAATAATAGAATTATAAAAATAGAGATTTACGTTTAGACTAAGATTTTAGAGCTTAAGAAAGAAAAATAGATTTAGTTCTTTATAAATAATAGTAGAAAGATTATATAGGTTTTCTAAGTAGCTTATAAAGTAATATAAAAAGATAAGTATAAGTATAAAGCTTTTTAAGCTTAAAATACTACTATATAGTATCTAAGAATAGCTTAGTATATAAGCTTATAAAAAGATTATTTTTACCTTACTAGTATTAAATTCTATAGTTAGAAATATACTCTAATCTAAAAAACTTATATATATATCTTATACGTAATAAGTAAGCTTTTAATATAAGTATTATAAATTAGATTAGTAGTAGATATATAAAGTATATATATATACTATCTTTCTATACTTCTAATTAAAAGCTTATACTATAAAAATTCTAATAGAGTATTCTAAGTAATCTAATAGATATAATTAATAATATTATTAGCGCTAGACTTTTATAAGTAATTATCTAACTAAATAAAAAAAAAAGTCTATATATCTAATAACTCTTATAGTACCTTAAAATACTTTATAAAGTAGATATAAACTATTATAATAAATATTAAAATAAATTAAAACTCTAAACTATATCTTTAGAATTATAACTAATTATAGTATAATCTATACTTACTTAGTAGAAAAGTAACTAAAAAGACTATTTTAGTAGTATCTACACGCGTTCTAAATACTACCTAACTATTACCTACTAATATATTACGCTACGTAATACTACTTCTAAAAAAGTTTTTTTAGGTTTATTATAATGCACTTTAATACTAACTTATATCTTAACTATAATTATATTTAAGAAATATATATATAGTAAAGAGCTAATCTATAAGTAATAAAAATTTA